TTTTACCCACCTCGGAAGGATGGAAGGCTGAGTCAACCCTGAGCCGGTGAGATTTGAACCGCTGACCTGCTGATCTAGCAGTAGCCTGCAGTGCTCCATTTAACCACTGCGCCACCTTGGCTCTTTAAAACCTATTTGTTTTTAAAACCTATTTGTTTTATTGAAACACGATTTCATCTTATTAAGAGTAGTTACTTTGGTAAAAAGTTAAGATGGACAGCAAATGAATATTTCGGATAAGGGTGGGTTTTAAAAGTGAAAAGGTGAAGATGTGAGATTATCATTATATGGATATGATTAAATAAGTAAATAATATAGCAATAGCAATAGCACTTAGACTTATATACCGCTTTACAGTGCTTTACAGCTCTCTCTAAGCGGTTTACAGAGTCAGCATATCGCTCCAACAATTGGAATCCTCATTTTGCCCACCTCGGAAGGATGGAAGGCTGAGTCAACCTTGAGCCTGGTGAGATTTGAACTGCCAAATTGCAGTCAGCTGGTAGTCAGCAGAAGTAGCCTGCAGTACTGCACTCTAACCACTGCGCCACCATGGCAGAAATTGTTCAGAACATAATATAATCTAGAGTTACATTAATAGTTCTCCTCTTACACTATGATTTTTGCCTCTATTTAGTGGGACTATCGTGCTGTCCAGCAACACTTAAAAACAGGCAAGTTGACATATTCAATGTAAAAAAAAAACCCTGCTAAGAGGAAATTAAAAGTAAATCTTGATGGGTTTTTAACATCTCCAATACTGAGATCCCCTTTTTCACCAGCTCAAGCAGCAGACCTAAGGAAGAAGAATCTCCTCTTTTGAAGTTGGTATCCCTGCAAAATGCAGATGGCTCCTGGCCTCATGGGCCTGTCCTAGCTGCCATATTAGACTTGAGTGAAGCTGATGTAAGTTTCTGTACATCTTCCATAATGAACAGCAAAATCTTTATTCACTTATTATTGTCTATTGGTAGAAAAAGCTTTATCAAGCTTAATTTGAGGGAAAGGATTACAGAATTAAAATCATATAAGCTTTCTAGAACCCTCCAAATGCAGAGGGCATCAAATCACACATAGCAAGGATAGGAGCAAGACATTGTGAGAGTTGTATTCCAGAAAATCCAGAGGGTAGCAGATTCCAGAATTCAGAACAAACAAAACAAAAATATCTTTGACATTGATAGAAAGCAAGCAGACATTTTTAGGAAAATCGGAGTTGTCAAAATAGGTTGGATGAGAGGCCAATGCATGTTTACTCTCTTTAATCCCTGATTTTGCCATGATGGGGGATGGAAGGGCACAGCCATCTTATGTGGCTCTACCCCTAAAAACATCTTCAATATTTCATGCAGATTATGGAGCATTTAGCTCACTCAACAAAGCTATCTCAGTATTAGGACATGGAGTGAACTAGACACTGGAGATGGTTGCCAATAATCAGGAGTTGGGAGTGGTAGGGAAGATATCTTAACTGAATTTCACTGGAGTGAAATTATGGATTCTTAACTATTGTTAATGAAAACCATGGTATCCATTATCTATTTCAATCTATTGCTTGGAATTCTGGATAACACTAGCTTGTATTTCTGATTTAGTTATTGAAGTTATTTTTAGCCATCATCTGGAAAAATATTTTGCACATCTGTACGGGAATATGTAAGGCTGATTTAGTATCTTTTCCCCACTATTGCTTTCAGGTGGTCTCAGATATATGGGCAACAGTGCTGGCTGTTCTCTGGCTTCATTTGAAAGCTGCAGAGCAGAAAGACGAATGGGAACTGCTGGAAGGAAAAGCTGTCCATTGGCTCCAAATGAATGCAGGTGATGTATTAAGAGTAGCTTGTCAAGGGAAACCAATGTCAGGATAAGAAATAGTAGTGTGTGGCAGTCCTTAATCTACCTCATGGAAATAGCTAATCAATACCAGATCTTTTTAGTACTTGGAGGCCATGGGGAAATCCTGGGACTGATTCCCAGACCTAGAAATTGAAGAAACATCTTAAAAGAAGGCAGTAGCATCAATTGTGCATTGTTTCCAAGAAGGCTACCTTGAAATGTCCATGAGGTAATCAGGAATTTGATTCAAGGGAATCTTTGTTTTATGCAAAAAGATTTGGTGAATGCAATTCTAGCAACAGTATTAATTAATGCCATCCTTCTTGTCAGTTCTATTTCTTCTTGAAGGTGGTTTTTTTTAATGGATCAGCTCCTTAGAATTCCCCAGCCATAATAGTAATTGCTGAGAATTCTGGGAGTTGACCTCCTGAAGTTTACAGGGCATCCAAATTCATGTGAACTGTCTTTTAGACATTGGAAGATGTGCTAAATGCCATTATATTATTTAAACTGAAGTGGGTGTTGCTTGAACAATCCTGATTCTTGACTATTCGTTTACAGGAGATCAACTGGCTAAGTATGTGAATGATGGCAATGACGTTCTGGGAAGTAGAGTCAGCCCCCAGGTATTCGGGCTCTGAGTTTACAATGTCATCCTATGCCTGAAACTGGAACATCTGCATCTATTCTGTTTCTATTCTTGTTGAAATGTAACCTGCTGCAACCTCCATTAGAAGCTATTAGTCCTGGGTTGCCTACCTCTTGACATTCCCAGTGCCTTGCTTACAAACTCACTAAGTTCTAATGCATCACAAATTGCTCTGTTGGTGCATTGATATGCAAGCACTCTAGGTATAAAGGTAGCAGTAGCAATAGCATTTAGGCTTATGTATCACCCCATAGCATTTTACAACACTTTTCCTCAGCTCAGAATTAACCTCAGATAATATTTTTGGTTGGTTGTCAATTTCATTATGCTGGCAGTATAAAATAAGGAAGGGGATGCTTACAGAAAAAGCTACTTTGGTGAAGTGATTAAGGCATCAAGCAGAAATCAGGAGGTTGTGAATCTTGCTTCAAGGACAAAACCATCTGGGTGACCTTGAGGTAGTCACACTCTTGTAGCCTTAGGAAGCAGGCAATAGTAAACCACTGCTGAAAAACCTTACCAAAAAAACAAACTGCAAGGTCTACTTCCAACCGTCACCAAAAATCAACAATAACTCAAAGGCACACACATGATTAGATATGAGATTCTATCACTATTTGTAGTTTGATTTAATATTCATAAATGTGTTTATAAAGTTTGCAAATAAGAACAGTAAGTTTAAAATAGTTCTAAAATGTTGAATTATGCATTTTATACTTGGATGTTTATCAGTATATGAAGAATTTTGGATTTATTGAATTTGAAAGGGATTATTCTCTTATACCACCCCAGGCATACAATCTTGGATAGATGGTACATATTCGTACCGTGTTATGATGAACAGAATAAATACTCTGCATAAATATTTAATGCCGTGTTTAAAAATTGCTCTTTGTTTTTATCTTGGATATAAATGTGATTACTTTTTGGTCAGGTGCTTATTGTTGGGGCACTGGTCATCCCGAATGAAATACATTACTGAGAGAGTGAAATTAATGAAGTTTCTAAGATGCGTACATGGTTTACTGTTTGACAAAGTATGTTACGCAGACCCTTGAGTCAAATACTTTTCCTAAATAAATGAGTGTTTTCTAAGGCAGGCACAAAATGATAACACTCCTGCTCAAGCTTGTAAATAACTTTGCATGCAATCTTTCATCAGATGTCAGTATCTCTCTAATTTTGCCTGAGCTAGGAAGATAAGCATAATAAGACCTTATTAAATATAAGGCCGCATAAGCTTAGGTCAGGGATATCAACAAGACCATCCCTCACAGTCTTAAATGTTCTTTAAAGTGATCCAGCTCAGATTAAGTCAATTTAATAGGCTCTGAATACAGTTAGTCCTTGATTTATGACCACAATTGAGCCCAAAATTTTATGACCTTTCTAATCCACAGTTGTTAAGTGAATCATTGCAGTTGTTAAATTAGTAGCACGGCTGTTAAGTGAATCTGCCTTCCCCATGGACTTTGCTTGTTAGAAGGTAGCAAAAGCTGTTCACATAATCTCGTCATAAATATGAACTAGTTGCCAGTAATCCAAATTTTGATCATATGACCACAGGGACGCTGCAACAGTTGTAAGTGTGAAAAATGCTCAGAAGTCAATTTTTTCAATACTGTTTAACTTTGAACGGTCACCAAGTTGTAAATCGAGGACTACCTGTATCAATAAATAATGGAATCTAATGCATCATTCTTTAAATCTTTCAGATTATGAGTAACAAATAGACTTTTGCCAAACATGGCAAAGGTAAAATATAAGGACAGTAACTGGGTAACAATTGCATTTTTAAAAAATAAGTGCTCTGGAATAAAAGAAATGAATAGCTACAAAAATGTAAATATCCCAGTAAGAGAGTTTAGCGATGCGTCTCCAAAGATTATATTTTACAACTCATCAGTTGTAGACATGACCAGTAGATGGCAGCAAAAATGAGATTTCTGTATGTCTGTGTTGCCATTTAGATTTTCGCAGCTCAGATCTTTATACACTATATTGCCAAAAGTATTCGCTCACAACTGCTTCTGATTATGTGGATGGGTGAGCGAATATTTTTGGCAATATAGTGTAGTCCTATACTTAGATGATTATAAAGTATATCAGATTTTATTCCATGATAACAGATCTTACTAAATCTACAACTTTAGAGATTATTGGAAGAAGAAAATCCCATTCGAATCTAGTCTTAACCAGAGTTCACCCAGTTGCATTAGGTAAAGCCCTAATTTTAGACTTCCATTTTTAATAGAGGTGCTAAGTTACACTATATTGCCAAAAGTATTCGCTCACCCATCCACATAATCAGACTCAGTTGTGAGTGAATACTTTTGGCAATATAGTGTACCTTAAAAGGTTGCGGTAAGGACTGCTGGGATAGCATGGAAGTAACTGAAATTGTTTTCTATTGCTACTGTTTTGACCTCATTCTCACAATTTCTTAGATGGCATTTTTTGAGTATGCTGAAGTTGTTTTTCTTATACATCTCTCAACTCTACAGTGTCCTTGGATACCTAGGCTCCTTAACTGAAAAAGTCCTGTGGGAGATATTTCCACACAATTTTCTCCTTTGAGATTTCACCAAAGCAAGAGAGGTTGCAGATCCCTAGGAAAATGAGAATGAAAAGCCCCACATATTCACACACTTTCATCAATCACTCCAGCAGAAGAATGTAATGACTCACTCAATATTACTAAGCACGAATTGGAATCATTGATTGTATTAGTGTGACCAGTGGATATTAAGGCAGAGGTCTTTAACCCCTGGTCTATGGATCGGCACCAGGCCTCTGGATGCAGGCAGCACACTCCCTCCAGTCCAGAAATCACTGTATTAAGATATATAGTACAGTGTAATTTTACCTTCCAGCAGCTTCCTACAAATACATTTAGGGAAAGAGATTACATTGGATTTATCATGAAAACATTTTCTGCACTGGTGACAGAATAGATGTCTCCCACAAAATTTCTGGGGTGGGGCTTGCAAAGTATTTAATTACTCAGAGACTACTCCTATATGCATGATTCTAAATCAGTGTAATTAAGTATCTCCACATTGAGAAAAACAATTCAAATTACACCAAAGAAAATCACAAGATATAGAGATATGCACTAAATCATTATAGAACCCAAATAAAGTCATGTTCATTGTCACAAAGTAGGAGAAAATTGTATGTCTGGGTGAAATATGCTTTATTATTTATCAGATTTATATGGCCATCTCCCAAGACATTACTCTGGGCAGTGTGCAGCAAAATTAAATATATGTATAAAAACTATAAACCTATTGAGCACAGGCATAGAAACTGCCCCATACAATTGGATTAGCAATGAGCCACCTCAATATCTCATTTGCACCCTGAGAATCCCAGGCCTGATAACAAAGCCAGCTCTTCAGGAACCTCTGTGAAATAAGGGGTGAGGCCTATTGGAGGAGGGATATTCCATAATGCCCAACTCTTGTCATCTGGCCCAAGCCCTCCTTAATTTCCAGTTGGAGGGAACTTTGAGCAGCCCCATTTCAAAGTTCAAAGTAGAAAGGCAAAATCATGCTTGCCAAGGCATTTCCTGGTATCTCCCATTGTCAAACCACATAAGGCTTTATAGATGAGGATCTGAATTTTAAAGTGGTCCCAGCAACCTACAGGTAATTATTCTACTTCCCACAAAAGAAGACAACCCCCTCCCCAGTTTCTAATTGATAATCTGGAAAAAGAATTCAAGAAAGGTATGAGTAGAGAATAGAATTGTATGAGTTCTATACAAGCAATTACAAATATTGGTGGGACCCCAAGCCTCTTCTCTCATTTCTAGTACCTCCTGAATAACCTGGATATCTTGTCTCCATTGTAAAAAGTAACCTTTCTTGTAGGGCTATTGCAATAAATAAGCAGTATGTATCTACAGAGAAAATTTAAAGAAGACCGTTATTTAGGCACAGGTCTTGTACCTATATAACATATAAATTGGCTACCAATGTACTAATTCAATAGATCCTTTCCGGTTTATAACTTTGAGTACCATTCTCTCTACCTTGTATGACATAGAACTGCACCTTCAGGAAATGCTGTAAGTTGGGAGAGCAAAAATGATAGTCAAAATTATAAGGAGAGCTAGGTTTAGATAAATATTTTTCACAGAGGCCTTAGCCTCTTATAAGAACTGAACCACTGGCTTTTAAAGATGGTATTTTGCTTGCTGAGCAAAGATAAAGACAAAAAATCATTGCAACAGAATATTATTGTGTGAAGTAGATGCCTTCCTGAAAGGAAAGACGCAATTTAATGCCCTTAGGAAGTTTCGGACTGCAGCTTCTATCATCCCAGATCTTCTAAAACATCCAGAAGCAACACTGTCCACGAGAACTGATTTCCCCCCCTAATAATGTTATTCTCTCCCACTTAGGAATCCTGTCATCTCTTATGAAAGGTGACCAAAACAAATCATATGGCTTCAGTTAATTACTAATTACAACCAATTTCGTTGTATTTAAGTACAATTGCAATAAAGATTATACTTACTTCGCTTCTTCAAAAATCACTTCTTCCACCCATATGCAAACAATCAGGAAATAAAACTGTTTATGAGCTGAACAAACTACAGGACACTGGTCTTGGACTTTTTTATTAACAGAAAAATGAGGGCCCAAACAACAAATAATTTCTTGCCCAAAATGCAATATCTCCAGAGAGTCCTTTGAAGCCGAAGACTTTCTTCCAAGATTTCTTCTTTCTTCTCCACATTGTAGTCTAATCTATAATGGCTGGATTTCCAATGCCTATTCTGCTACTAACCCAGCCAAACACTGCTTAGCTGTTCTGAGATCAGCCAAGGTCAACTAAGCACTGTCATCTGCAATAAATCTGCTCTTAAAGGAACAGCGACAGACTAAATTTAATTGCACAGCATTTAGGAAAATTAATTGTCTAATAGAAATATTCGGGTACAAAAAGGGGTACAACCCAAAGAGTAGGTAGCAAACCTCTTTAGCAGGTCCAACCAGGCTTCTCAAAGTAAACTTAAAAAGGGGGTTAGCCATTTCGGGGCGCAACCTCGGGATTACGTGAACTAAATTCGGTTCACTGATTAATTGCGGAATATATTCCAATTTGTATTTCCTGCATCCTACAATAACCAAAGTGTTACAGCTATTCCCTACCGTCTTGTTCCAAGACGCCTCCTCTTCTCTGGTGTCCTCACCCCAAATTCACTTTTAAAAACTTCTACACTGAATCCTCTAAAGCTTTGGGGGACTAAACTCGTAAAAGTCTTAAGAGTTTAATTCCCTAATTGAGACCGACGGTTCTAGGACCCTGAGGGCACTGCTCCTTTCACTCGTTCTCACCTTACTTTCCACTGTGAGAATTTGCTCGCACCACCGGGAGCCGCTTTTCTGCACAGAAAGCCTCAATGGTGGGAATAAATGAATAAGCACCCGAGGATGGAAGAGAAAAGAAAGGGTTTTTTAAAAAAACTCCCAACATTTCCAAAATACCTTCCCGTTGCAATGCATCACTGCAGTCAATTTCTACATTTTGGGGATGATTAGGGGGAAGGACTTCCCGGGTCAGGGGGAAGTGGCTTCCGGGCAGCTTTGAGCCCCGGCACCTTTTTTTTTAATTTGGAAATTATCCGCTGGCAGAAGCTCAAGGGAAATAGCCTGCGGCATCCTTGGGCAAAGTTGCATTACCAGGATTCCTTATTTGAAACCATGGTCGCGAATCTTACTGGGATTGGTGTTTAGTGCACGCTGCTGGGCAGAACTTAATTTCAGCCAGGGCTCGACAAAGGTATAGTTCTTCCTTCTGGAGCTGCTCCATCAGCTGTAACGCCGTAGGTGAACGGTTTGGGTTAAAGGATCTGGTCGCTTCCAGTTTTAGATCAGATATCTCTTCCTGGTAAAGGCTTCTGTGCAACCTGCAAAGTGGCTGGGAAAGGGAAGGAGGAAGCAAATTAAGCAAGGGTCTAACTAGTCAGCTAGCATGGCAAATATGTGCTAGATTAAAAAGTCTACTGCTGGATTGAAAGATAAGTTGGGAGAAGGACCTTGTCGGAGTTGTTAACATTAAGAAAAAAGGGGGGGTGGGAATCTTGGGCAGGAGTGATCAGAAATATTGTTCAGGAGTTCTGTACTTTTCGGGTTTTATTTATTTATTTTAATCTTCCTCCTAATAATCAATGGGCGGAGCAGATAACACTCCTCCCAGATCGCAGCTTCAGTCCGGCTCTTAGACAAATATAACCTGCGTTATTTTTCGGGGACTAAATTTAATTGAATCCAGCGAGCCTTGCTCCTCGGTACTATACACAGGCTTAGGATGGAGATACAGATGTAAAATAAGTGGAATTAAAGGCTGGTGGTCGGGGGGGGGGGAGTGATAAACCATTTTTAAATGCCAGATTAATTTATTTTGTATTTTAAAAGCACAAGCTGTTTCTAGTGCCTACATAGATATAAGCCTTATTGTTTCAGTAGGGCTTATACTTAAGCAAGGGCATCTAGGTTTATGACTTTGTTACATCAGTGGAAGATATGTGTTTATTACCAGATTTATATACTGCTCCATCTCAAGACACTTTCTCAAAACACACAAGGATAGTCCTAGTATTTTTTGTATCTAATTGTTTTAAATCTGGATCAGGGCAGGGCAGCTTGGCCTCTGTAAGTTTTATTTATCTAATTTTGAGGGAAGTTGCTTAAGAAAATATCCCAGAAAAAGGCAATGTCACATCTATACTGTTGCCGATAAAACTTTGATGGATGTGTAAGGTCCCAGAAGTTTCCCTGAGCCAGAGTAACACATTTCCATATAATCAGTTCTGTCCAAAGGGACATTTACCTTAAATTGTTTTATCATTGCAATCTGTCCTTGAGGCAAGTCATTTGACTCCACTTGTCTGAGTCATCTGGACAGTCTGATAATAATTATCTTTTGCATAGTAAGTATAGCCCACCACATTTTAGCCTCCTTTGTGAAATCAACCACTGTGGTCAGTCTGATATTTGTATCTGGAAAATTGGATTGAGTTCATTATGGTTCAGTTAACCATGGCCTGTACATGAATGCAATAATGTCTTTAATATAAATCCAATAAACCTAACCTAAACCTAATGTTATATTCAGATAAACATCACTCCTAAAATCTTTCATTAGCAAATAAATTTCAGTGAAAGTAAAACTAAACAGACATTTCAAATATTCATGACACCCTGAAATCAAATAGTTATGTTTTTCCTATTTCCCTACTGAAAAGTGTTGCAATGGATAATTTCAATCCTTTTTCTCTTTCTAGGAACATTATATTCTGTTGGTGTTATTTATATTGTTCCTGAGCACATTCTTATTTCAGGATCAGTCTGATCAAACTGTAAGCTTATACGTTTTTTAAAAAAAATTGAGGTGCTAAGATTCTGTGGCTGTAGAATGGTGCATCATATAAAAATGATGTGCATGCATTTATAAAGATGTTTATTGGGCAGACCTCTGGAAAAAGGAGGAGCCATGCAGTCTGGATAGTTGATGGTTTGCTTTTGTGAAGTTAATGCTCTGTTATGGGCTGGGCTTTTGTTTGCAAGCACACCAATGGCATGCATACTAACAGTTTCCCACTGTTTGTGGGAAATCTAAAATGGGTTGAGAGGCCACATGGGTACAATGAAGCCTAGTCAGTTGCACAACTCTGTTAATCTGAGCATGCTCTGACATTGGGGGGGGGAGGGATTCCTGAATAACAGGTTCAAGAAAGTGAGGGCTGCAAAGGCAGGAGTCAACTAAGTCTTTGAGGAGGGGTCTTAAAAGTTTTTTTAAAAACTGACATCAAGTAAAGCATTTGGAGTGGGCAAGCAAGCACATGCTGGACTGAATCTGCAATTTTTGGTTGGCAAAGCTGGATGAGTAGAAGACTCAAACCTAGTAAGATTTCATTTTTTGTCTCCCCCCAACCCCCAATATCCGTTCTGACATTGTCCTTATACTTGAAAAAATATTTTATATTATATCTAGAGAAACTTTAGATCTATAAAGTTTCAGATAGAATGTCTAAAATATTCTATTTGAAACTTTATTAGAAATCTTGTTCCATTAATATCTTGAGTATGCCTCAGTTAGTGAAACTGCTTTTTGAATTTGTTTGCAGAGAATTAGATATTGATAGGGTGGTCTAAAGTCCCTATTAAAGAATTTTGGATACTTCTAAGAGTTATTTAGGCTCTATTGTATTCCAGATTTCTAGAGATTTTGATACCTTCTTTCTCCAGACAGCAAGCAAGGAAGTTTTGGAAAGATGGATTGATTTTTGAGGCATAAACTTTTAAATCCTAAATTTACTTTTGACCAGCATTGCATACTTAGAAAAGGCACTTTATCTTTGTTACATTTTTACTGATGGCTATTTAAGATCTGTAAATTGAGATTTAATATAATTCTTGGTTTTATCTTGCTGGTCAACCTGAACAGAAAACCTTCCATTCACTTGTCACAGATTATAAAAGCAGTACACCTGGTTGATATTTTAAAAATGCCACCTCCAAAATCCTCTTTTTTTCTTTTTTAAACAATGATCTCAGGATAACGGATAAAGCTGGCACATTTTTATTGGCGGTTGCTAAAATACTACTACTGTATTTTTGTTTACTGTAAACATGATTGATTGAATTATATATTATTTTAGAATGCATAATAGTTAATTCCACCATAATTTCATACCATTGCATTACCACATTAAAAAAAAACTGGTGAGTCTGGTTATGTGCAGTTTTTTATACATGTTAAAAAAAGTTTTGGTGTTTCTGGGCTCATGGCCCAGTACCTCATTCAGCCAGTAGAATTCAGAGCTGAACTAATAGCAAAGACAATACATAGTCTCTTTTCTCAGTTTGGAGTAATTTTGAGAATGAATTTGTGTTTCTGTCACCTTTTATTTAGGGGGGGAAAGCAGAAATACTACAAAAGTTTCTTTCTTTTGGGAGGGGGGGCAGACTTTAATCTTCTATAACTTTTTTTCCTTAAGCCTTTCCCTTTTCCCTTAAGCCTTGCTGAATTGTATTAAAAGTTTCCAGCAAGCCAGATAACAAAATCTGGTTTAAACACAACATCTGATAAGAATTAAAATATTTATTTTCATGCAGATGGAAGAATTTGGAAGTTTGTGTTCATAGTATCTGGTGCTGAATATATGAAATGCTTCTATATGATTTCAATGCTCATTATTTCCATCAACCTAGAGCAATATAACTTAAATAACCACTGAATGTAAGAACAACTCCATTGGATAAGACAAGAGCCCATCTTAGTCCAGTATTTTTTTAATTACAACTAGATTGCTCAATGATGCTCAGAAGCAAAATATTATCCTGCAGTTGGTGTTTTGAGTAATGTTGCCCTAGAGACAAACATTAAATATTCAAGATATTGATCATCACAAATTAGAATAATCAATTTTAGAAAAGTCCAGGCCAAAACATCTGGAGGATGCCAAATTTTCAGCCCACAGACTGGTACAACAGTTTTTAACATAAATTATGATCAATTATAAATGAGCTGGCCTCAAACCATGGATTATAAAACTATGGAAAGTAACATAAAACTAATAATAGTTTAAACCAGTCCTTTCTGCTTCTTTATTTCCAGTCAGGCAAATTTAGACATTGTCCTTTTCTCGTTGATTGGATTTCCTCTTTCTCTTCCATGCCATGCTTAGTTCCTGAGATACTATAACATAGAAAGTATTACATTTAATAAAATGGGAATAGTATGTTACAAGTATCATCAGATAATTGCAAATTGAACCATTCTAATACTTCTTCTTCTTCCTATTTTGTTGTTGGGAAAATAGGAAGAAGAAGAAGTATTAGAATGGTTCAATTTGCAATTATCTGATGATACTTGTAACATACTATTCCCATTTTATTAGTAATACTTTCTATATTATAGTATCTCAAGAACTAAGCATGGCCTGGAAGAGAAAGAGGAAATCCAATCAACGAGAAAAGGGCAATGTCTAAATTTGACTGGAAATAAAAAAGCAGAAAGGAATGGTTCAAACTATTATTAGTTTTATGTTACTTTCCATAGTTTTATAATTTATGGTTTGAGGCCAGCTCATTTATAATTGATCATAGAGTGTGTCTGGCCCAAAGTCACACTTTCATGTGTGTCTTTCATGCCAAAGACAGGACTAGAATTCAGTCTCCTATCTTCCAGGCCATTTGCTGAATTCAAGTAAATATACAAAGGATTGTAGTTTTAATAGTTGAACAATTACTCTAATCAAAATATGCTGCTTTCTCCAGTTTAGGTACCCTGAGAGGAAAGTCCTACAATAGAGTCATTTTAAGGTACTAATAATTAGTTTGAGTAATTTTTAATGCAGCTTGGTCAGCTTGGAAACAGCAAAAGACATGTGAAATGTGTTAGTTATATTTCAAATACTAACTTTATGTACCCTTTTGTAGCCTGCCACTGTAGTCATATCTAGCTTTCTTTTAATGTTAATTATAGTTATACATCTTATTGGGCAGTCAAGTCTGGTCTGTGCTGGTAGCATGTAATTGTATTATCTTTAACGATTGGGGCCATCAATTAACATATTAAAATAGATAGTTCATTGTAACTGAGTTTTAAAAATTAAATAAAACCTGTGTTCATATTTCTGTTTGTTGTGTCATTGTCTATCCTTCTAGTTTGAGATCCAAACCAATCAAGGAATTTCTCCACTTGATAGCCTCTCTAGTTGGCAGACCAGTTATTGGAAGCTTCAGCAGAAGCCTACATAAATTCCAAATCCAAATAAAGAATGAGGAGAAAAATAGCAGCAAAGCGGAATATGGTGGCCCAGTACTTCCAGTGTCAGACACCATTTGAACAACGAGCGCAACCAGTGGTGAAAATGGAAAAAGATCCAGACCCACCAGGCTCTGATCCATTAGGCATTTCAGAAGGCTCAGTAAAAACATATCGTATTGTACCAGTAGGAACAGGAGGTAGTGGTCTTCGGCTAGTAACACCACAGCAAAGCAGGAATGAACGACTAGAGGCACCCCAACGCTGGGAAATCCAAGGGCAGGAATTGCCGACTCCAGAACTTACCCCAGTCCAATCACCTGCATGGAGGAATCTGCAAGTACCAGAACTTACCTTAACAGAAGACATTGAGAGCTACTTGACTACTTTTGAAGATGTGGCCGAAGCCTGCAAATGGCCACGGGAACAGTGGGTGACCCGATTGGTGCCAGCCCTCAATGGAGCTGCCCTCCAGGCCTACAACAGCTTGGATCCCAGAGAAAGTGGGGATTATGGGAAAGTAAAAGCTGCAATTTTACGAGAAGATGCAGTCACTCTGGAGAGGCAGAGGCAGCATTTCAGGCATTTCCGTTACCAGGAGGCTGAAGGGCCCCGTGACGTCTGTTCTCGGTTGCGGGGGCTCTGCTATCGCTGGCTGGAGCCAGAGACACGCACCAAGGAACAGATTGTAGAACTGTTGATCCTAGAGCAGTTTCTAACTATCTTGCCCGAGGAAATGCAAGAATGGGTTCAGGAATATCGTCCGAAGACCTGCATTCAGGCAGTAACCTTGGCAGAACATTTTCTTCTGAAGCAGCAAGACAATGAGAGATGGGATCAACAGGTGAGCACTTTCCAGCATCAAACCTCGGAGCTTTTGCCCAAACATGCAATGTTTAAATCACTTTTAAAAACACCAGCTTCTGCCTATACTCATGATAGAATCCAGGAATTGGGGGGGGGGGGGGAGACTACCTTTAAGGAGCTGGTTGTTGCTGAAACATCCCCCCCCCTTCTTTTTTAAAAATTTAGTTTTACAATCTTATTTAGTAGTGCCAAGTTCCCATTGAGGAGAAATTTTCTCTCTTGTATATTTTTTTAAAAAAATACAAACTTTATAAGCAGCTCAAAGAGTAGCTCCGTTCTGATGTACATAATAGAAATGTTCACATTCCATAAAGGCCATTTGGCCACCTATTTCACAGGTAAGTGTTTATTTGATAACAACCCTAATGTCAAAATCATGTCCTCTGCCAAAAAGTTTAATGCTACATACATTTTAATAGTTTTAAAAAGTGCTCACTTTGTTTATATACAACTGCTCTCTAAAGTTTAATGAAAGTGATTTCTGAAACCATCCATGAAAATTCATTGCACTGAGCTGAAATTGAGTTTTTACTGGTTTTTAAATTTTTTGTTTGTTCACAAAGAGAAGAGAAAACAAGGCTTGAAAGAAAAGAAGTAACACAAGGAGCATTTATTCTCTTACCTCGTTTAACCACACAAATGTTGACACCCTTTCCTTCACTAGAAAAAGTGTTTCCTACCTTTAGAGCAGAGTGTCAGGGTGCCAAATATTATGTTTTGCATTTTGGGAGAACCTGAATGATTTAAATGAATATCAGTTGATACAAGCAACCTTATACACTATTAAAAGTCATAGAAACAGTACCGGAAGGCTCTTGGAGAGATCCAGGTTTTGTTCATTTATGTCAAGCAAGTGAGAATTCTGAACTACTAGAAATAAAAGATTCCATGCATTTTGCAAGGTGTGGCAATTGGTCACATCCAGCATCCAGCCCAGAATTGGCTTTGTTTGGATAGGATTTGGTGACTTCCAGGTTAAGTTAAAGACAGTGTAAACTGTTTTTTTCCTGGATTGACACCTATAGTCACACATATTTGAATCTATCTTACACCACTGGCTTCCCTAATCGCCAAAGATGATTGAAGATGTTTCTCATGTGTTGCCATTTGCATTCTACCTTTCCCTGACAATATTGTATCCCTCTGGTTGGTGTATTCCTTTCCCTTCAATAGTGTCTAACTGCTGTTTTCAGGTGCTAGGGCCGTATATGCTTGAGGAGTCTGTGACTTTACCAGAAAGTGAGCAAGTAGTCTCAGATACCCGGCAGGTGCTGTGCAGAGAAAATAAGGAAGAGCTGAATGAGCATGCTTCCTCAGTAGGTAAGGATTTTTGAGACTCCAAATATCTTGGGTCAACTCTGATAACACAGTCATTTAGTTAGGGATTATGGGATTGAAAAACAAGAGTATCTGAAGGGACCAAATTGGGCCAGAGAGTCACTCTGGAACTAAGAGGATCCAAGTTCAAATAACTCTTCAGCCATAAACTTCTGGTCTTCTACTCTTTCTTACCATACCTTATTTTGCAAATTGTTGTGGAATTACAATGGCTTCCAGGGGGGTGAAATCAGTCTGTAACTAAATAATTTAAGTGTTTGTCTTCTTGCAAAAGTGAAGATAATGAAACTCCTAATGTATAGTTACATAAATAGTAATTTTTTTTCTTTTTTAATCCAGCAGGTGATGAAATACAGACTAAAAATGAGGAAGAGTATCTGTTACAGGAAAGTTCAAAAAGACAGAGAAATCGCCTTCTTCCCAATTTGCAAGCGACTTCCTTTGCTCACCAGACACCCAACAGTCAGCTAGCTTTGAAAAAACAGCCCTTGCACAAGCAAGAAACGCTTTTCCCTTGCCCTGAATGTGGGAAGAACTTCTCACGTAAATCTACCCTGACCAGACACCGGAGAGTACATACAGGGGTCAAACCCCATCAGTGCACTGAATGTGGGAAAAGATTCTTGCACAAATTCAACCTGGTGAACCACATGAGGACCCATGTGCGAGAAGAATCAAGCCGTTGTTCATTGTGTGGGAAAAATGCAAAGCGGAATTCAGGGCAAGGGAGCCAAGAGCGAAAGGCTGGGTGTTGTGAATGCACAGGCAGTTCAGAACTACAATACAATGTGGAACAGACAGCACAAGACACAGGCGAATCCTTTAACTGACTTGAATCCTAGGAAGAAAAACAGTATAGCTGACTTGAATGTGCAAAGAAGTTTTTAGGAAATAACTCTAAATCAGGGAAATGTTCTGTGCCCTAGAGCAGTGATGATGAACCTTTTCAGCACCAAGTGACCAAACCGGAACACGCATGCATGCGTGCGGGCTGGAGTACCAGAAACCCAAAGACCAGCTTGCCGGTGCTCATGCGTGCGCTGGCCAACTGGTGTTCGGATTTCCGGCACGTGCTTGCACACTGGCCAGCTGATCTTCGTGCCAGAAACCCGAAGACCAGCTGGCCAGCGCATGCATGCCTGTTTTTTTGGCCGTTTTCTGGCACCCGCAAAACCCAGATTCAGCAGCGGGCTCTGTGTGCCACTTCTGGCACGCATGCCATAGGTTCGCCATCATGGCCCTAAAGTCTTCTAGAAGCCAGAACCACTTTCTGATGACAAGGCAGTTACCCTGAATATTGATCAAAGCAAAAATGCCTTCAATAGCTTAGTTCGCCTATTGAATGTTTTGTTATTTGTTAATTTCTAAAATCATCCAGGGGAAGGGAAGGGGGAAGAGCAGCAAAGTTGTAACCTTCAGTGATAATAGAAATATTGTCTTCTTGATATCACAGTCAGAAGAAAGTTAGACAATCACATAGCCAAAGCTAATGGAAATCCAATTCCACCCCTCACCAGAAATCAAAATGTGATTGACCATAGAAAGTACACTTTGATATATGAGTATACTGAAAGCTGTCTGATCTTTAAATAGTTTCAAGATTGGACCCCTTCTTGTATTCTCAGAAGAGATGCTCTCATGTCAGAATGAAACATTTCAAAGATGGAATGGTTCAACCTCAAAATGTTTTGCACACTCATATACTTAAATAAACTGAGATATTTGAGGCTCTGCAACTGGATACAGAATTGCTTTCATAAATAAAAAATTTGCAAAAGTCCTAAACAATAAAAAATAAAACAAATCTTGCTTTCAGGTTGATTAGTCATGTTCTTAAGTGCAAAAATGTCTTTATTTGCTCATGCATAAAAATCATATGGACATAAGCTTATCCAGTCATATATTAGCTAATTAATGATATATGATATTTTTACAAATCTGGGCAAATTGCTAGTGTAGACAAATGTGTAATGGAATGTCACCTTAAAGGCCTTCAATCCAGTGCCTCTTTTGTGGAGATCTTGAAAACTCTGTATTTGAAACTGTGATAAGAGGTGTGGACTGTTCTGTTGATCTGTCAATTTTGTGTGTGTTTTTTTAATAGTGCCTCAATAAGGGATGGTAAAATTCACAATATTTGTTGTTCATTGGAACTTTTTTATTAGAACTTTCTTTCCTAGGATGTTTGTTTCCAAAAATAATCACCAGAGTCAAGATAAATCCTAGCGAATGACCCGGCTTAGCAGATATCCTAGTCAGAAATACAAGGAATTTGATTTAACTCATCTGAATTACATCTCTTGGAGAAGTTGGCCTCATTTCCAAGGAAATTTGCAGTTTGTGTTGTCAGACAATAGTTCTCAGTAGCACATGACAAACTTTTGAAATGGTGACTTTAAAAACTGATTTGGCTAAGAATTGAGGAATCTTGTGTTTTGAAGATGGGACAAAAATCCAATTGAGTGCAGGTTTTCTAATTTCATCTTCTGGCTGTTTGTAAATTCCTGTCAAGCACATCGTAAGTATTTCAGGGTTGTCTAACACTACCAATTTTAATCCCTCTAACACTGTTGATATACCAAAACTGCATGTTTGGAATTTTGCAATGGTTATAACTGCACATATAAATGTTAGTTTTTTTAAGAGAAAAATGTTTTTGTAATTTTTTATTAAAGCTTTATTTTTTTCTAGTTTGCACATTAAAAGAAGTTTAATGTTGTAATCAGAATTTATAGTTCTTTATTTCTTATATAACAGAGTTGATAATTTTATTAATTTATAGTTTAGCTATAAACCCATAGTTCTGATTTTTAAAATGTGCTTCCGAGCAAGCGAGGTTATGAATATATTAGTCATATGAAATACTTGGGGACTGAATCACTTGCAACCTCCAACTGAAACCACTGGCAGTGGATCTGGGCATTTCATAGGACACTTCACCGGCGCCAAAATGACTTGCTAAAATATACACAATGAGCCATGCAGACACCTAGGAATCAATCTAAATATAATATGATTTATCTCTTAGTAATACATAGCATATCAATGCACCAATTATTCATTTTAAAATCCCATTAAATAAAGTGAAATTTGTTTACTATATATCTTCACAGATATAGTGTATCCAAAGTTTTTTGTGTGCAGATGTATGAGCTTGCCATGCTGATTAGAAATTAGAGAATGGGAATTCCAACACATCTGGTTAGAAAAAAAATAAATTTTGGATAGATTTTTTTTTAAAATGGCTCTTTGCTGCTTTATACTTGAAATAGAAAAGACTGCATCCAATCTGCTGCCAGAAATCAGCAGACCACATCCATAATGCCCCCTGGCAATCCAAATTCTATACTGAGAGCACTATCCAGATAACTATCATTGCCTCTTAAAAGCTAAGTAAACAATTGCAGCTATGTTACTCTATGAGGAAGAGAATGCAAATTCATACCACAAGAAATGCTTGCTTTAACATTCACAGTACTTTCCATCAAGTAAAATAGCACAGAAATAAAAACATTCCACAAAATTCAAAAACCATACATTCTTTTGTAAAATGTTGGTTGTTTATAAAATGATTTTATTCAGTTCTTTACCATGGAAACAGGTGTCATATGTGATTCTTTAAATATGCAAAACATCCTACAATAGCAATGTTTTTTTTTTCCTTCCAATCAGTTCTGTCCATTTTTTAGAAACTATCTAGAAAAGTCGTCTTGGCAAGTTTTTTCAGAAGTGGTTTATCAGTAGCATAGAATTCATAATCTTCCAGTTACCTTAACCATGATACCAAACTGAGTATTGTTAGTTTGTATGTATTTATACATATAGAGAGTCTAGTAAATAAAACATTCTATATAACATCATCCAATCTAAAGAGATGATAGCCAGAATGGTATATTTGGGGTCTTGGATTGAGTCAAAGAAGACCCAAGTTTAAATTCCTAGTAAGCTTTGCAAGAAGCTGTATATCATGTCAGTCCATAGCATTTCTCATAAATACTGCATATTATCATTGTTTGCTTCATTGTAATTTGTTAATTATCAAAATTAAACAAAATAAGTTAGCTTATTGTATGAATCCAGCCATTACCTCCCAGCATGACCCAGCAGTTGATATACCCAATCCAGATTGCAAATATCTGGATGATTAATAGATGTAAAAAAAAACCTTTTAACTTTTGCTGCATCTGGATTTTTGCTCCCAGATCTGATAGTCCTAATTTAGGCTAAATAGGAATCTCCTGGTCTCCGTTAGGCAATAGAGAATGGCTAAGAAAGAAAGAAAAAACATGGAAGCTTCTTGCCATGTATTAGTATGCTCCCTTATGTTTATCATGACCATTATTCCATCCAGTTAAATAACTAATATTCTCCACGGAAAGATTTAATTTGACTGCAAGACACTATCAAAGGTCACCACACAAATATGATGTAATAACAAATTAAGTTTTTGAATCGATAGGTCTGCCACCATTTGCTCCCTGAAATTTGGAGGTTAAAATATTTTCCCTACCCTAGGCACTGTTTTAATTTTCCAAATAATTCTTGACAAGTTCTTCATGAATGATAATACCACAATCTTCTTTTGTCCTTAAAAGCTCTATTGGCTTGTTAAGGACTTTCCAAAGAAGATACTTGCTAAAAAGATAAGCCTAAAGTAACAGCACCAAATACTTAATTAACATGTTATATGTTCTTCCCATTTTTTAAGAAAAAGAATTGATTTAAAATTCTAAACTATCTGAACATGCCCTACAGGCTGATATTGCTTAAGATGGGGGAGAAGGGGGATTCCATGCAGAGATTTGAATGAGACCTAGTTTGGATTTATGATGGTGCTATTCACACCTCAAAAGTGGGGGGGAGGGCAGATGCTTACTAACTTGAAAATGCTTCCCAAACCTCACCCTTTGAGTTATCCATTGTAGAACTATTCTTTCTATTCTTATCACATTTCTGAATGACATTCCCCTAGCTATCTCTGCATTTCCTCAGGCAAGACAGTCAAGACCTGCTCTGTAGACTTTCCAAGATATCTTCCTTGTAAAGGAGAATATTTGTAGCTCAGGGTTGACATGAAGGGTCCTTGATGCACTTTGAGCTTGCTTGTTTTCTTGCAGTATTTCATTACTCAAACTAGGTCACATCATCAGTGCTAGTAAAGAGTGCTGTATGCTGTCAGTTATGTCCTGGTGGGTTGCCTTGCCAGTGTTGGTCTGAATGGTCTTAGAGATTCTTTGGTTGGACTCTTTACTGTTGGCTGTTGGCAGTTTCTTGATTGGGATATTTTTAATTGATTGTTGGTCTGATGTTAACCTTGGAAGAAAGATTAACCTAATATCTTCCTTAGTATGGTAATGACTTCATTTAGAACAACTAAACAACACCTCTCTCCAGGAGGGAATCTTCCCACCCCTCCTAAAGGATGCGGTGGTGAGACCCCTCCTGAAGAAATCGTCTTTGGACCCAGCCATTTTGAGCAACTATCGTCCACTCTCCAACCTTCCCTTTGTAGGGAAGGTTGTTGAGAAAGTGGTGGCCTCGCAACTCCGACGGTCCTTGGATGAAGCCGATTATCTAGACTCTTTTCAGTCGGGTTTCAGGCCTGGTTACAGCATGGAAACTGCTTTGGTCGCGCTGATCGATGATCTCTGGCGGGCCAGGGATAGGGATCACCCCTCTATCCTTGTGCTTCTTGACCTCTCAGCGGCCTTCGATACCATCAACCATGGTATCCTTCTGCGACGGTTGCGAGAGATGGGGGTGGGAGGCACTGTTTTGCGGTGGTTCTCCTCCTACCTCTCGGACAGGTCGCAGTTGGTGTTGGTCGGAGGGCAGAGATCGACCCCAAGGCCCCTCAAGTATCGGGTGCCGCAGGGTTCGGTCCTGTCCCCCCTCCTATTTAACATCTACATGAAGCTGCTGGGTGAGATCATATGCCGGCATGGGATTAAGTATCACCAATACGCAGACGATACGCAGCTGTATCTGTCTGCCCCGTGCCAACTCAGCGAAGCAGTAGAAGTGATGTGCCAGTGCCTGGAAGCTGTTAGAGTCTGGATGGGAGCAAACAAGTTGGCACTCAATCCAGACAAGACCGAGTGGCTTCTGATGTTCCCTCCCAAAGACTGTCCAACTGTTCCATCTCTCAGGCTGGGGGACGAAATTATACGCCCCTCAGAGAGGGTTCGCAATTTGGGAGTCCTCCTGGACCCACAGAACACCATCTGTCGGCTGTGACCAGGGGGACCTTTGCCCAGGTTCGCCTGGTGCACCAATTGCGACCCTACCTGGATCGGGAGGCCCTTCAGACAGTCACTCACGCCCTTGTGACCTCAAGACTGGATTATTGTAATGCGCTCTACATGGGGCTGCCCTTGAAGAGTGTTCGAAGACTCCAATTAGTCCAGAATGCAGCCGCGCGAGTGATTGTGGGTGCACCAAGGTACACCCACGTTACACCTATCCTCCGCAAGCTGCACTGGCTACCTATTAGTCTCCGAATCCGCTTCAAGGTGCTGGTCGCTACCTATATAGCCCTACATGGCATCGGACCTGGGTACCTGAGAGACCGCCTCCTGCCGATTAACTCTCTCAGACCAATTAGATCACACAGCTTGGGTCTCCTCTGGATTCCATCTGCCAGCCAATGTCGGCTGGCGACTCCCCGGGGGAGGGCCTTCTCTGTTGCAGCTCCGGCCCTCTGGAACGAGCTCCCTGTTGAGATCCAAACCCTTACTATCCTCCCCGCCTTCCGCAAAGCCACCAAGTCCTGGCTGTTCCAGCAGGCTGGGGGGAGCTGAGAAGCATCTACCTCCACAGAAATTGTGAATGTTGGTTTTGTTTTTAATATGTTGTCTTTGTCTCGTTCCCCCCTTTCCCTTGTCTTTTGTGAGTCGCCCGGAGTCCTCCGGGAGTGGGCGGCATACAAGACAAATAAATAAATAAATAAATAAATAAATAAATAAATAAATAAATAAATAAATAAACAAACAAACAAACAAACAAACAAACAAACAAACAAACTAAGTTCCTCAAAGACACTATAGAACTCACAGATTTCTCAGATTATGTTAGTCATAGAATTCCCAGGTGTCAAGATGGTTTTATTTTTCATCCTTCATATCAGCTTTTGAATCTGTAAACTCATCATGAGCCTATTTGGCATCTCTGCTAAACAATGGCACAGCCGAGTCACCCACTTCACTTATGGACAGGCCTGCAAACTCTGATCATTTAGTAAGATATCTAGGAAGATATCAAAATTGGCCCCAAGTTCTCACAAATGTTTTCCAGTGAGGAATTTAGAATGAAAAATATTCAGATGCTTCAAATATGTCCTGAAGGGTAATGCTGATATTAAGATCATAGCACTGATTTTGTAATTTAAATGGATAATAGAACATCTACAACTGAAAAACCATGAGATCTCAACAATCTAACACATCAGTTCTCAGCTTTGTAGATTCTCTGCCATTGCCTAAGATCTTGAAGACACTGAATTGCCTGATCATTTAAGTTATCTTTGGATAAAGTCCAGGTACATGTTTAAACTATCAATATTGTACATGTATGATGTCTTCCAATTGAAGCAGAAGCAGAGGCTTGAAGTTCTCAAGTACAGCTTTACCTGAGACAACTGGTCTTGAAAACCTGGCTAGAAATAATTCTACAGACCAGCAGCCATTAATGGACCTATGTCTCCAGTCTCCATTTCAGAAAGACTTGAGAATGGAAAGAAGTATATATATTTAAAGGACTCTCCCACCTTTCCATAAATTTCAGTATTAACCAATAAACCAAATTCTGGAACTTTCATAAAAGCTTCAGAAATCATTTCAATACATGAACATTATGGAAAAACTTTTTCAACAAGCATGTGGCTTTGAAAATATAGGAATGTATGTAGCAACATATGCAAGTGTTCACGTGGAATTTATAACAACTTAATTTAGCAAAAATGTCACATCAAACTAGTACTTGAGTTGTGAATTGCAGAACAGAGCAAGGGTAGTGAAAAACCAGTTCTTATTCAAAGACATTTACATCTTCAGGAATAAGTTGTTTGCAGAATAATCTATCCTGCCACTTATTGTGCGTTTCTGTTCCTACAACAAGAGAGGTGAGGGATCATACTTGAAATTCCATTTGCTTTCAAAAACACATTGCATAGTGGGTCTATCAGAAATCTACTGAGTTCAAACACGAGCTAGACAACCTAAATAATCTGAATACATATCAGTCAATGGGGAATGGGGGTTGCATCTTCTGTCTATTTTTCACAAATACTCCGTTTGACCCAAGCTCAAGCCACTGCTGCTCCCATGAAATGACTTTGGAAATATTGTCACAGTAGATTTGGCGGGGCCAACCAACGTGGTTCCAAACAATATAACCATCAACTTTGTTTAAGGCAACTCCCTCATCCGGCATGCCAATAATTCCCTCACGGAAATCATCCCAAACTGTTGCGCCAAAAAACATAAAACCTTTCTCTTCTTTCTAGCTCTCTAGCTGATCAGGCACCACCCCCAAGGCCTCTCAAATTGACTTGATTTAAAAGACCAATTTCTCTCCACTAGTAGATAAATGGGTACTACTTCTATGGGGGAAAAACCTAGCTGCGTTCGTGTGCGCGAAGAGCGGAAGCCGGCGTTGGACCTGGAAGAGGCAACTGCCCCAGCTTCGCGCCAACTGCTGTAAGCTAGTTCGCTCCCGAGTTGTACCAAGGATAGGGCCTAACATACCGAGCTAGCAGTTTAGGCCGTCAGGATTGCATTGTGTCTAGGTTTGGAGATTTTCCTGACATTATATGTCATTCGCTAAATAAACAAATCACTACCACCGTACAGCAGGATCGAAAGGGGCGAGAAAGGGCAAAGCTTTGTGAGCTTCCAACACTGAGAGCGCCAGCCACTTCTATCAGGCTTTCCAACCCTAGTTCCTTCCCAGACATCCCTTCCTTCTCTGTGTGCAATTTCAGAAGTTTTTCAAAGTCCTTCTGTTAACAGAAATGAGCGAGACTTTTTTCAAACAAGACCATCCTTCCCCAGCAGGCTTGGAGGGGTGGGGAGGAATGACGAAAGAAAATGAGGGACATTATTATATGCAGAGCTTTATCAAGGCGTCGCGGACGTGTGACGTCAGGATCCCGGTCGCTGGGTTGTTGTTTTTTCCCGCCGATTGCTAGCTTGTGTTTTCGCGCGAAAAAAAAATGGGCGGCGTGTTGTTAGGTTAGGGAGAGCCATTGAAGCTGAGGCAGGTAATTCTTTTTCACTTTTTGCGCGCGCGAGAGAGAGAGCTTGTCCCCACTGTGGGGCTGACGAAGGAGCTTTCGCACGACCGGGGCGTGGGGGAGGGGATACTTTTGGCGGGAATATTTCGTGCGTCCAGGATAGAACTGAATAATGGTGATTTCCTCTCTAAAAATCGCGCGGAAGGAAATGGCGGGAACGGTGCCCTATGAACTCTTCTTGTCAATAGCACTTCCCACCACGCACACATACACCTACCTCTTTTTTCTTTCTACATAAGCGGGACTTTCGAGTATTGTTATACGTATTAGCTCTTGTCTCTCTTATAGTGGCTGCTGGACGGGTGGCAAAGAAAGGGTTTTTCTGTCGGTGACGTTTATTTCGATTGCTCATTATCTTTTGATGCCCGGTGAGGTGCGTTTTGTAACGTATTTACTTGCCGCTATTGTCAGGCCTTGCCTTCACCTGAGTGTCATATTTGGCAGGGAACAGACAGAGGGGGGAGATGGAGGCAAGCTAAATAACAGAAAGAGCTATCCATTCCTCTCAAAAAGAACTATTAGTCCCCAAGGATCATTTTTATAATGTTATTCTATTTGTATATGCTCTTGTATAAATTACTGTGGTAAATTTTATGGGGAGGATATGGCGTGTGACATTTTTAAAATAAAAATCGATATAAAACTGCTCATCTTATAAGAAATATATATTACAAAGATGACTTAAAAGGAAAGGAAAGCAACATTGTAAAACATTGAAAAGGCGTTTTCAGACTTAGTTCTTTCGTATATGTTCTGTGGGGTTATTTCTTCCCTTGCTCTTGTATATATTTTTCCAAGTGTGTGTGTGTGAAATGAATGAGAAAGTCTAGGGACCCTTTTTGCAAGTATTTGTCCTGCAGATTTGCACTTATTAAAAATGTGCTAAGTGAGAGAAATGGAATAAAAAAACTGTACAAACATACATACACACATAGTCAGTTGTGATTTCTTCCACATACTTCCTATTTTGTGTAAATAATATGGAATAGAAGAATAGAGAAAGCCCCTTTAACTTTTATTTGCTAGTATGGCAAATGTTATAAATAGTTCAGTGCAGAAGAAAAGACGCTACATTTTAATAGTAGCAGAGATTTTAGACATCTCTATTAGATTCACTGAATTCCAACTGAATTATTGCGAGTAATAGCAGTTTTTAACTACAGTAGAATACAAATGCAGCCTATCTATCATCAGTGCTATTGTTGGGGGAGAGAATTAAGGGGAAGTATTATAACTGCTTGAGTTCTTGGAGGAAGGAATCTAACAATGTCATATTACGCTAATGCTGATATTATGCTAATGCTGATATTACTGCTATGATAGACTAGAACTTAGCAGCAATCCAGGTAAAGTATATCTTTAATGAATTTTCCAAGGTACCTGTGCAAAGCTTCTGAATTAAAGTATTTAATACTTGACACCATCTTAAATATAATTGACCTATATGCCATTAGATTTGAATGACCTATCCCAAAATGTCTTACAACTGATCTTTTAGAATAGTATTTCTTAATATTTTTTCTCTTACCCTTTCCCACTTTGAATAATTGTGGTGGATGTCAAAATTGATTTTGTTTATATAGGTTATATTTATACATTTTTGCCATGATAGGGCTGTAAGCATGTAAAGCGGTATATAAGTCTAAGTGCTATTGCTAAAATTAAAATTGATGCATTCACTGCCATTACTCCTTTTCACAATTGTTTGATGGGATTTTAACATTGTTATTTTTCAACATAGACTGGCAAAAAAGTTTCATTTTGCAGACCCTTGGGAACTTATAACTATTCTTTAAGAAACCATCTTAGAATATAGCTAGCTAATGCTCCAAATAAAATGACACCCCCCATTTAATCAAACTAGAACAGCATGTTGATATCTTACACATGGAAAGTATATGGAAGGAACCAAGTTACCTGGTTCTAGCTTACCTGATTTTTTTTGTTATTTCAGTTTTGATTAAAATATAAAAAACTGTGGACTTGCATGTCACTTTGTAATACTATGATTTAAAATTTATATTAAAATTTATGATTTTTAAGAGAGTTGAGCACTTCTCTGCTATACAATTCAAGAAATCCTGCAAAAGATGCCATTTTAGCATCTTCATTGTGCTTTTATTTCAGAAATGTTTTGAAAACTGCTTTCTAGAAAGTTACTTGTTTCCATTGCGTAGTGCTATAATATGCTGTCATGTTTATCCATTTTATGGACAAGGTCTGCAACAGCTCACTTGTCCAGTGAGAAGTAATATTGAAAAGTTTTTTTCAGGCAACTTCCACAAAATAAAAATAAATAAAACTGTAGATATATAATTGTGTGCTAAAATCATTAAATATTTTTAGGAATAACAACAGGAATAAGATTTAAGAGAGATTAAAGAAACTGAGAAAATGTATGTGAGTGGAAGATGAATAACATTCTTCAAAATCTGAAAGGATGTCACTTAGAAGTTTAAGACCTGTTCTCCCTCATTTCAGAATGTAGAACAATAGATTAGAGAACAGTAAATTCCTCAAATGTTAGAAGTGGAACCAACCAGAAGTAGAAAGTAGCAGGTTCTACTCCATTATATGTATTCAAGGAGATGCTAAATACCATATTTTTCAGACTATAAAATACTCCAGAGTAAGATGCACCTAGCTTTTGGGGAGGGAAACAAGAAAAAAAATCTCCCTCTGCCCCCCAGCAGTTTGCCTCCTTGCAGCAAACAGCCTTGTCAGCTTCAGCACAGCCTGATTTAGCACCAACAGCTGATTGGCAGTTGGATCTGCCCCCCCTCCCGAATACCACCAATCAGCTGTTCCAGGCTGCGGGGATTGCCGCCACCTATCAGTGCCGTTGGCGCTGCCACCTACCGCCACCTCCGTGCATCCTATTTTTGGCCTCCACGCATCCTGTTTTTGGCACATTCCAGGCGGCGAGGATCGCCGCCACCTATTCCTGCTGCCTGGTACGGGCCAAAAATGGGACACATGGAGGCCGAAAATGGATCACGCAGAGGCCGAAAACGGTGTGTGGAGGCGATGATAGGTAGTAGCGATGATTGGTGGTGGGAGACCTGTTCTTTTTGTTTTGAAATTGGTATAGGGAGGCATAATATCTCTAAGGCAAAGGAAGGATCAAGTCTTCCAAAAACTTGATAGACACACATTTCATGAATTTATTCAACCTTCTTTTAAAGCTATCAAAGTTTGTCACCATCACTACATCTTGATGGAATTCCAAAGGTCACATTTTTACACAGCTCAAATTCAGTCTATCTCATTTTCTTTCAGCTGTATCTTGAAAGAAAGTAGAATATAATCCATATGATAATCCATGAATTTGTTTATGCTATTTTGTGAACAGATGAACTAAGGAAAAATCCAGATCTCTACAATGCAGAGCAACATAAGGTATGTGACAGTATGATATCTGTAAGCAAATAGTAGTAGTGGGTGTATAGTAGTATAAAGTTGAAATATTTCATTTCTGATGTCCAAGCCACATTTGAAACAATGAGGTGAAGTGTTTAACTGTAAAATGATTTTTCTGGACTGAATAGCATTACTACTTTTTTAAAATGTTAACAATTTCTTGAAGTATGTAAAAAGAACATATCAGCAATTAAAATACTTAACAAATATAGTGATTATCTAAGGTAATCTTATTTTTCAAGCAACACTTTGTTTATTTTTTATACGGTTTATATGGCTATAAACTCAAGCAGTGCCACTCAGTGGCTTACAAAAAAGAAACCAAAAAAACAACAAACATGTTTTCAAGCATAGAAAAATGTATCATCTTTAAAAAAATAAATATAGTTTTTTGTACATTTGAAGACTACAACTTCCTTTGGGACAAATTAGTTGAGTTATGTACTCATCATGAGTAGAAACAATGCCAAAGTAATAGCACCCTGTCTTCTTTAGTGGTTGGGCAAAGACATTAATGTTTCTAAAGGTTTTCTTTATCAATTATTTTTTTTAAACAACATTATGATTGGTTAGCCATATTTTAAGACTGGCTTTGGCATGTTTATCCACCTATCAAATCATTCCCAAGGACCTGGGATAGCCAGATCTTGTTTAATGTTGTTAAAGGTATCATTACAAAATGCAAACTGTTCTATGTAAAACTGCAGTTACAATTCATTTTGTAAGAGTTGATGGTGTTCAAGTGGTGCTCCAATTGTTTTGGGATTAAACCCAACATGCTCTTAAGGTTGTTCTATCTCTCCATTTTATTTTTGTTTTTCTTTTGCCACAATCATTCCACATCTATTTGCAGGGCTTTGTATTTTGGGATTTTCTCCAGTTCTTTCTCTTCTATTCTGCTGTCTCCATGAACTGCAACATCCATCCAGCCTTTTTTGTCTTTCTTATTGACAGGACTGTTATGGGGCAGATGTTTGTTTGAATTCTAAAGCCCCACAGCACTTTAACTTCCTCATTTTCTATTACTTTGCCTTGTGGTCCTACTAGTTCTTGCTTGGAGGAAAATGGTTTCTGCAGATATTCCAATGCACCATTGTTGTCATTTGTCATGCCATTTTTTAGTTAGCTTGTGAGACCTTCTTACAGCTGCTAGGTGGGTCACATTTCTTCAGCTTCTTTGCAGAGGCAGCATTTGCTATTGCTATTGTATATTTATCTGCCCTTTTATTTGGGTGTACTTTTCCAGTGTGTCTCTATGTACTTGCTTTGTTACAAAAGATGGCTTTTTGAACTGGAAAGCTGCCCAAAACTATGATATCATTCTCTTATAAAAATAATTATATACTCTGTAGCCCCCAGAATAGGAAAGAATATGTATAATCATGTTTATTTATGTCTGAGCAGATCATTCTTCCAGCCTCTAGCGCGAGTAAAGTCTGAAAAAGAAAAAACAGAAGACAGCAACTTGGAAGATGTGCTTAGTTCACAAAAGTGAGTTACTTTGAGATATGTACTTATACTGCAAGTCTATTCATTGTCTTAGGCACTCTTACAGTGATTCTTGGGCCAAATCTTCCAAAGAATACTGATTTTGAATACACAGTTCTTGCTGCTGAAACATCTGTATCTGTCTATAACTGACTTTTAACCAATATTTATATATGTAATAAACATGATATTTAGTAGTTCAGTAATTATTGCTAATTATTTGGTTCTTAGGAAATTAGTAAATGATTCAGAACTCTGTGAAGACTTCACAGTGAAATGTGCATCAAAAAAACCTAAGGTCCTTAAGAGTGATGATGAAGATGATCCTGTGGAATTAGATGGAAAGGATGCACAAGCAGATGACAACAAGTTGGTAAGTCTGTTCCTGTAACATCCTAATCTTTGACAGATTAATCATGGAAAACTCTTTGAATTCTTCATGAAGATTTTCTGCTTTCATCTTTCAAGAATAGAGGTTTTATTTTTAACATATGTTTTTACTTGTAATTGCCCAGTTGTTGGGAGCTGGGTTTCTCATTTAATTTCAATTGTAGCACATATTTCAAGCTAGGTTGCTCTTATCAGACTAACATAAAAGTTATAATAAACATTGGTTTGTTCCTCTTTTATTGTAATGTTCAAGGTTATGCTTATTTGTGGTTATTCTTTCTATCTATATCCCTTTTTAGAGCCCTGACTGTGTTTCTGAAGAAAAGATCTCTGAAGAGAGCATCTCTCCAAGTATCAGCCCAATTACCTCCAATTCAGCCACATCTGTCAGTATCCCAAGGCGCAAAACTGGTAAATTCACCCTCTTAATAATCCAACTCAGAAAAGTTTGTGTAGGGAAACTGCTACACCACTTTGATATCTTTGTACTTTAATTCTAACATTGTTATTTTAAAAACTATTATGCCGTTCGAATAGAATTAGGAAATCTTGACCTTAGAGAGTAGTTCTGGTTTTAGACAGTCTTCCACAACTTTCCATGTTGTTGAGGAATTTAATAAGCTGGAGTCCATCCATTTAAATTGCAGAAAGCTGGATGAGAATGGAACCTTAATTACTGATCCATCAAAGCAGTTTGGCTCAATTTGATTTTGATAGACATTTATTATAGGCTCCTTATTTCATCGTGTTTGGTGTATTAGAAATGGCAACAAGCAGTGCCAGTCCTCAATCAGAATTAATCTATTAAATATAATGGAGAAATGTTCTTTGAATTTTTAGAAATGTGGAAAGTTGTGATTATCATTTGAATGTTAATTGTAGCCCAACATTGATAAAATTTACCATTTAGTAATATCTGCTAATTTTCTTTTGTAGCCCTCAAAAACTACAGTACTAGCAGTGTCATCAGGCATTATTTCCTTCCTATTACTTCAAACAACCTTTGAATAAATTAGGATAACATGCCTTGGTCAGTTCTCAACATGTTACACAAAGCCCAATCCAGAATTGAGGTCTACTTCCCTGCTTCCAATTCCCCGTTTGCTACATAGAAACATTTGCATTGAGTTTTGGAAAGGAGAACTTTGAGGAAGATCAGAAAAGCAGAGGAAATTCACACTCTCCATCTAGAATAACAAGGTTTTGTGTGACATTCTGTAGACATCCTTTAACATTTAACTATTTTCTTGATCTGTATCTTACCATTTTTGTAAATCTTTTTTTCTTTAAGACGGCTTTTTGGTAAAAAAATTATATAGGCAGAACTCTTGATATGAATTAAATACAGCATATCAATCTCTATGATCTCTTATTTGCTTTAAGGGTAGCAAAAGTTTCCTAAATGTTGGGAAAAGTAGTGACAGTTTAATTGCAAATGAAATTTATTCTACCTTTAGCCCGCAAGCAGCTTTCTAAACGTAAACCAGAGGAAGATGACAATAGTTATTCTTATGAAAACCACAGTAGTAAAAGATGGAAGGAAAACCTTGATGGAGATGGTGAGCACCTTATTGTCTGGTTATTAGAAGAGAGTGATTAATATGAGAGACTCAAAAGGGGATGACTCAGTGACTGGCTATAAGCTGGGCTAAAATATTAGATGTAACTTTTCCTGGGGGGGGGGGGTTGGAATAAAGTTTCTCTGAATTATTTCTGTGTAAATATAGTTTACACAGAGAATAAGCTTATGTTTGACTCAGTCACTAAAACTACCATGCCTTTTTATATATTCTAAATTAGGTGCACAGTTTTAGTTTGCAACATATTTTTCATAAAATATAATATATTGTAGTGTCCAGTCATGTTTGTCAATGTTTACATGAATTTGCCTTGTCTTCAGATCTTCTGTAGGCTTTTCAAGTTCAAGTTTGTTCTCTAAATGTTTGTTTCACAAGCAGTTTGCAACTATCTTGGGTATCAAAAATAGGTATCAAAAAGCAAATCAAAGCAAACTTAGTTCAATTTTCTACAGATAATGTTGAACATTTGATTTCTACTTTATAAACAGATTCTAAAGATAAAACCAATGAGAAACTGATAGAAGTGGAAGAAGTTAAAAGTGAGAATGCAACATTGGTGGAGCATAAAACAGATAAAAATGCAAAGGAAGAAGAAATTCCAGATTCCTCTAAGCCATCCAGCAAGTCAATTTCTAGTTTTTTTGGTAAGTTTGAAATATACCACCATTTCTGCATGGAGTAAGACCAATGAAATAGCAAACGTTATCAATTATTTGAGGTGATTCTTTTTTTAAAAAATAATTCCATAAACCTGTCTCCAATTTTTTTTAATTTAAGAGTGCAGGAGAAAGTACCATATTTTTCAGAGTATCAGATGCACCCTTTTCCCTCAAAAAAGAGGCTGAAAATCGGTGCATCTTATACACTGAATATAGCCTTTTTTGCCTCCAGAAACCCCGCCTCTTCACCAAAATGGCCATGCAAAGCCTTTAGGGGGCTTTCAGAGTGTCTTTTTTAATTTGCCTCTTCAAAATCTTGGTGCATCTTATACTCTGGTGCTTCTTACACTCTGAAAAATATGGTACTTGTTTATAAGAAAAGAAGTATAATATAATCAAAGTGCTATATTAAGAGAGAAAGTAATGTCATATACTTCCTATAAGAGTCTGAACAAGTGGTGACTGATGAGAATAGCAATAGCACTTAGACTGATACAATGTGCTTTACAGTGCTTTACACACGGGCCATAGGTTCACCATCACGGATATAGGAGGTCCCTGACCACAATTGGGACCTGAATTTCAATTGCTATGAAAAACGATGTGGTTGTTAAGTACACTATCATGTGACCGGGCCTGGTTTTTACTGTAGTTGTTAACATGAATCACTGTTGACTTTAAGCAACTGATCATTAAGTGAATCACATGAAGAGTAAATGCAGTTTCCCCAATTGAATTTTCTTGTTGAAGCCAACTGGGAAAGTTAAAAATGCTAATCACATGACCACAAGAAGCTTCAGCCATCATAAATAGAAGCCACTTGCCAAGCATCTGAATTGCAATCACATAGTATTTAAATCACCTGTTCTGAGACCATCATAACTTCAAACCATTGTTAATTGAATAGTCATAAGTCAAGGACTACCTGTAAAGAGAAAATATGCCTACAAATCAGCATTCCATATACTGTAAGTGAGATTATCATAATTCTAACCTCTTGATAATTTTAGCAGGGAGATTAGTTTTTTGGCTGATAACAGATTCTGTTTAATGCCTTTGATTTTATACCTGACTTAAGACCATGGTAGGGACCAGAAAAGTTATCATTAAGCAGTGCAGTCATTAAATGTGGCATCACATGATTATATCTAATTTATGACCTTTCTTGCTGCAATCATAATCTGATTGCAGCAAGAAGGTTGACTGGCTTGCAACCTTCCCAGCCAGCTTCCCCATTGACTTTGCTTATTGGAAGCTGGCTAGGAAAGTTGCAGGTGGCAATTACATTATCACAGGACACTGAAAACATTGTAAATGTAAGGATTGGTTGCAGGTCCCCTTTAAATACTGTCATAACTTCAAATAGTTGGTAAATCAATGGTCTTAAGACAAGGACTATCTGTAATTTGGAATGTCTTTTATGTTTTCATTTTCAGCTCCCAAGAAGAGTTCTGTGAAAATAGAAAAGAAGCAAGCACCTGTAGTATCAGCAAGCATATCAGTACCAAAGTGTTTTAATAAAATTAGTAATGATGAGACCAGCAGCATAGCTGACAAGTAAGTGATTGGTGTGTTTTTCCAAGAAGGCTCTGTTTCATATTTATCTTAATGCTACATCAGTATTATTTATTTATTTATTTATTTATTTGTCTTGTATGCCGCCCACTCCCGGAGGACTCCGGGCGGCTCACAAAAGACAAGGGAAAGGGGAAAAACGAGACAAAGACAACATATTAAAAACAAAACCAACATTCACAATTTCCGTGGAGGTAAATGCTTCTCAGCTCCCCGCAGCCTGCTGGAACAGCCAGGACTTGGTGGCTTTGCGAAAGGCCGGGAGTATTCCAAAGTATAAGGTCATGTAGTAAGCAGAAGATCACAATAATTCATGCCTTTTGTCCAGAAAGGATTTAACAGAAAGTTATTTCAAGAAAAATCAATGTGAGTGTTAATGTCACAAAGAGGGAACAAAGTATAAAATATTTTATTCATAAATATGTACTATGAAAACGATAAATATATATTTATTATTTATAAATACAGTTACAGTAGTTATATAAATATCTTTTCAACTGTGTTTTTATTGTTTAGGTCTGGTAGCTTTAAACATACACATAAACTGATCAAAAACTGTGAAAATAAAACTTGTTAAGTTTTTGCTTCAAACATTTTTCATTCTCCTGTGTGCTGCTTGGAGAATCCAAGCATGGGTTAACTTTGTCCATTAGCCTAGAGACTGAGTTATGAAATTGTTGACCACACCTCTTCTGACTCGTAGAGTTCCGTTTTTTAACTCAGTTTAACCTGAAGAAATGTAAATATTTTCTTTAGGACAATAGACAATATTTTAACTCATAATATCTTAATTAGTTAAATTTTTAGCGTTATTTCAGTTGGCTAGCATTTATTACCTTTCGGTTCAAGAGACTTTTTTCCCTGGTCTGCAGCGGAGTGGGGTGGCTTCCCATTCCGACGGGCAGCCGCCCGTATTGATTCAGGTGCTCATGTACCCTGAGGAAACTGGGCGCTGTTTATTTTCTGCAAGGATAAATTAAGGTTGCGAATTCTTGATCAACGAGTGGAGCCATGGGGCGGTTCCTCGCCTGTTTGTCTGCTGTGGTTGAGAGTCAGTTCACCACTCACACTCAACATCTGCATGCGTGAATGCCGGAGAGAGATCAGGTCGCCTTAATGGCACACGTCGACCCACCGCTGCCATTGCGGGTGGTCATTTTTGTTTTCGCTCATCAGAGCAGGCTGCCATCTTTGAGGCAACTTTTAAATTTCATGCCATCTTTCCTTGCTGAAGAAGGAGCAGCTTGGCTTTTGCGCTGAAAGCCGCAGTGACATCATAACAGCCATTAATTATGCGGTTTGGGAGAGTCGCTGCCATTGTGAGGTCTGCAGCAGTGTGGTCGCGTGTAATCTTGCTCCAGCAACGCATAGCAACAACTTCTTTACAGTTTGCTCTTTGGTGCTGTTGAAAGTGGCAAACAGCAGTGATGCATCCCCCTCTTCAATCGGGTCCTTGGATCAGTCGGGAGCTTTGGGTCTACCAATTGGGCTTTCCCTTCATCATAAGGCCAAGATAATGGCAGACTGCTCTATCTCTGATAGAAGCTCTGGGGCAAAGTCATTTCCCTTGCCACAGCAGAACCCGCCAAGACTAGCGCTAGGCTGGGGAGGTTCACTACTAAGACCACATGTAATAGAGCCCGGGCAGACACCTCATCCGTGGCTGCGGGCAGGGCCTCCAAACATAAACAAAAAAGGAAGCATTTATCCAAGCCTTCGGTTACTGTAACAGCTAGCAGATCATCACCAATCATAACAGCGGAAAGGCTTTCATCTCTTTCTCTGCCTGGGTCTCTTATTATCTGGGCAGGGACCCAGGGTTGGTCTCCTGATATCCCATTCCACAGGGACTCCTGTGACATGGGATTGAGACTCCAATCTCCTCCTGGGCTGCCTGAAATTGGCCTGGCTCCGGTGTCTGCATCTAAGCATTCGGTGTCAGTTGCCACATTCTACCCCATGACAGCGGGGCTGAGATCCGAGGAAGGCCTTCCTTTTAGTCTCTCCTCTGAGATAAAGGATATGATCTCAGCAGCTATATCACAAGGAGTAGATGTCGAGCTGCAATGTAGGGGGCAACCTCCTCGACATTCTATTTATCCAGGCCCTTATCCACTTCTCAGTTGGATCCCCCTTTTCCCCTTCCTTCATTTCATAGTGAAGGTTCGGTGGTAGATGAGGACGAAGATATGGGGGATCAAGAACTTTCAGATGATGGAAGAAGTCGGGGCTTAGCAGTGAGAAGATGGAGTTTCAGGCCATTCCTGAAATTCCCCTATTCCAGAAGAAATGGACGGGTCGTTTATGATCCTAGCTGTCCCAGAGAGACAGTGAAGGTTTGGGGAGATCCAGTGACCTCAGAGACGTTNTGCTGACTCTGTAAACTGCTTAGAGAGAGCTGAAAGCCCTATGAAGCGGTATATAAGTCTAACTGCTATTGCTAAGTAGTGGAATAGAATCATTAAAGAAAGGATGCAAAAGAAGGGACAGAATGAAATGTGAATGACAAAAATTAAAATATTTTGATTTATTTTAAATAATTAAATAGAATTATTAAATTATCCCACAGTGAGTTGACTGTGGCCAGTTATCCTGCAGCAATTTGGCTGTGGCAAGTTCTCCCATTCCATCCCCCGGTCATATCTAATTAGTCACCAAGCAGAAGCAGAGAGGTATATGGCTTGATCAGCACTGCTTATCCTTATGTTTCATACTACTCACTATTTTAAATAATATTTCCTTTTATTTCTTCTGGATCTCTCAACATTCAATTTCCTGCTGCCAGTGTGACTTTTCCTGAAAGAAAGTGGTATCTCCACTCTCCAATCATCTTCTTGTTTTTAGCAGCATACTAATACATTTCCCGAGATGTGGCCAACGAAATTATATCCAAAGTCCATATGCAGTGCTTATTAAAGGCAAACAAGCTTAATTCTTAGAAGGAAACCAAATTTATATCTTCCTATAGACATGAGAGAGTGATAAATGTTGAAGCCAAATGGGCAGATCTTTGCCAAATAGGGGGATTCCCTTGTTCTGAAGTCACATACGGTAAAACTTAGAGGACTGTCTATTCTCTCAGTTTGTAACGCAGCCAGTTAATGTTGACACTAAGGGCATTTTATTTGTATATCTTCAGGAATCACTTCCCATGGAAATTCAACTTAACTTGTAGTAGAGGCTGTGAGTAAACAATTCTGAGTTTCTCAGAACAACCATTGATTGAAGTCACAATGCACTTGACCTGTATCGCCCTGTGAAGGATGAAGTATTGCTAAGATCTCCTTAAGTGCCGGTACACATTCTTGGCTATCATGAAGCCTCATGCTCACCTCCCTGTGGTTTCTGTAGCCACTCAGTAGGCACTGGCATATGCCTGAAAAATTTCCAACAACATGATTGTAAACAAGTCCATCTCTTAGAAGGAGCCGAGGTGGCGCAGTGGGTAGAGTGCAGCACTGCAGGCTACTTCAGCTGACTGCAGTTCTGCAGTTCAGCTATTCAAATCTCACCGGCTTAAGTTTGACTCAGCCTTCCATCCTTCCGAGGTGGGTAAAATAAGGACCTGGATTGTTGGGGGCGATATGCTGACTCTGTAAACCACAGGGAGAGGGCTGAAAGCCCTATGAAGTGGTATATAAGTCTAACTGCTATTGCTATTGCTGTTGCTATCTTCGTCTGCTTTCAGCAAAATACTTTCATAACTAGATACAGGATTGCAAAACAAGTGGAGGGTAGAGACATTTCCTTCTGTTCAAAGGGAAATTGTCTGGAAAATTAAGATGGGTC